ATCCACACTAGACATTGCTGATTCATTCAGATGCTTCAAAGTATGTGTTTATGCATTTAAAAAGTGTTATAGGGGTGGGCTTTGGTATATTGGTTAAGACACTTGTTGGGAAACTCTCATCCCAGATCAGAGTGGTTCAAGTCCTGAAACTATGTTTAATTCTAGCTTCCTGGTAATGAATCCCTTGGGAAGCATCAGGTGATGGATCAAGTGGCCGGGAGATCTGGACTATAGTTCCCTATTTCTGGCTCCAGGTTAGCTCAGCCCTGTCTGGCACTGAAGACACCTGGGGAGTAACCCACCAACCAGATGGGAGTCCTGTCGGTCTCTGTTTCTGTGTCTCTGTCTGTCAAATAAGCAAAATAAATAAATAAGTGAACAGATTTTGAAAAATGTTATGTTCATTTAACATATATGTGCTGTTTGTGCTTGGTGGCAGATGTTAGTCCAGGTATTGGAATATAGCAGTGAACCAAAGGGACAGAAATTCCTGTCCTCAGGAGCTTATGCTCTGTAAAGACCACCACTGTGAATATTAGATAGCTTTTTTTTCCTCCCAGGAATTCTTTAAAAACTTCAGAGGTGGGGGTGGGAGGAAGAAAGAGATCTTCCATCCATTGGTTCATATCCCAGTGGCCACAACAGCCCCTGGGCCAGGCTAAAACCAGAAGCCAGGAACTCCATTCTGACCTCCCATGTGGGTGGCAGGGGCTTAAGGACTTGAGCCATCTTCTGCTGCCTTCCCAGGTGCATTAGCAGGGAGCTGGATAGGAAGCAGAGCAAGCTGGGTCTCAAACTGGCTCCCTAATATAGGATGCTGGCATTGTGAGCAGCAGCTTAACCAGTTGTGCAACAGCACTGGCCCCTGGATATTACAGATCTTTGTCCTTTGTATTTTCTTGAAAATTTAGGCAGGTAGTGATAATAATGATGGTGGCAAAAATGGTGTGTCCAATTTTGTTGTACATCCACTATGTGTCAGCCCTTCATGTGAAAATTGTGTTACAAAGATTCATAGGGAAGCTGCTAGTATGCTGATTTTGTCCCTGAGGAAACTGAAGCTCAAGTCCAAAGTCAGACTGTAAGAAAAGTGTTGGAGGCACCATTTGAATCCAGTGCTTTCTTTAAGGCCTTGGACATCCTCTCTTAGATGTTCAAAGGACTTATGAATAAATAACTAAATTCTGGTTTTTAAAACAAATAAGCACTATACTAATGTATTTATAAAATGCCAGCTTTTGGGGCCAGTGTGTTAAGCTGTTGTCTTTGAAACCAGCATCCCATATGAGTTCTGGTTTAAATCCTGGCTGCTCTCCTTCCAATCCAGCTCCCTGCTAACATGTTTAGAAAATCAGCGAAAAGGCAGTGCAAGTGCTTGTGTTCCTGCCACCCACAAGGGACACCCAGAAGGAGTTCCTGGCTCCTGGCTCCTGGATTTTGCCCCAGCTGTTGCTATTTCAGGAGTGAACCTGCGAATGGAAGATATCTCTCTCTCTCTCTCTCTCTCTGTCTTCCTTCTGTAACTCTGCCTTTCAAATCAATCAATCAATCATTTTTTTTTAAGGCCGATTTTCTTCGTCTACTGAGTTGAGCTACTACAGTGCCTTGTGCTCCCACAGACACTTGGTGTATACTGGAGACATTTTTGATACTCATAACTTTAGGAATGGGGGGTGCTACTGGCATCTAGTGGTAGAGGTCAGGTGTATCAGCTCAGGTTCCTGTAACACAATACCATACACTGGGTAGTTTATAAACAAAGACCCTTACTCCTCATAGTTCTGGAGGCTGGAAGTCCAAGATCCAGCACCACCTAGCAAGGGGGTACAGTGAAGACTTGCTTATATGGAGAGTACCCGTCCTCACTGGTAGAGGTGGTAAGTGCCGGGCCCTCTGACTTCCATTATAAGGGCAGAGCCCCGGTGAGCTCATCACCTCCTGAAGGCAAAAGGCTGTCAGTACTATCCATATTGAGGCATAGTTTTTATTTTCGTTTTATTTTTTTTAAGTTGATTTGAGAGATAGAATTACAGTTACAGAGTTACTGGTTCACTCCCCAAATGACTGCAACGACAGAAGCTGGACTGATCCGAAGCCAGGAGCCAGGAGCCAGGAGCCAGGAGCCAGGAGCCAGGAGTTTCTTCCAGGTCTGCCACGTGGGTGCAGGGGTCCAAGCACTGTGGTCATCCTCCACTGCTTTCCTAGACCATAAGCAGAGACCTAGATCTAAAGAGGAGCAGCCGGGACTGAACCAGTGCCCATATGGGATGCCGGTGCCATAGGCGGAGGCTTAACCTACTATGCCACAGCACTGACCCCGAGGCTTAGGTTTTGACATATGAATTTTGGGTGGACACAAATGTTCAGCTCATAGCACAAAAGAACAGTCTTCTACAATGGAGAATGATGTGGCACAAGGTAATGCAGAAGCAGACAAGCCCTGACACATAATAAGGCAGTTATAGCCATTAAAATAAGAGACCTTTATTTTTTTCTTTATATGTTTTAAAGTCTCTGAATGAATGTATTCTCTCAATGAATGTATTTTAAGTATTGGAATAAATCTAATTTGCATTCTAAAGACAGTTACCCCCTCCATTCCATTTATCTTTTGATTTAAATTTAGTAATGGATTTTCAGGGAAGATTGCATATCAGTTGAATACATTTTAAACAAATATATTCCCAAGTTTATATACTACTTTATTCAATTGTTTATGGAAACATTAAGTTGAAAATCAAATCTCATGCTTTTATGTAATTTAAAAATGTTATTCATGTTCTGCTTTTAATACATAAAAACAATGCCAAATTTCTGCTGGTGGTGGGCATCCTTCTTCAAATTGCATTAGCAGTGGCAGTGATGGGTCTACACGAAGTCACCCTCTCTTGCAAGTCATCACTGGGCAGCTGGGACAGCTATGTGCTCTGTGACTGTGGGACAGTTGGTCTTCCTGGGAGGCTAATGATCTAGCTTTGATTTAAATTCATGATCTTGATCTGGACAGCCTCATGTTTTCCTACTAAGTCCCAAGAACTTTCCATTTTTATAATCCCCCTCTAGGGTTTGAAAGTCTAAGCAGGAATTCACATGGCAAAATAAAAGTCATGTTTGTTTAATCACATCTCTTTCCCCTTAAAAATTGTCCTTAGAAGTTCTTTTGGTTAGAAAGGGGCAGCACTTGAAGGGGTGAGCAGGTGTCGCTCCACTGGTCATCAGGGGCCTAGCATTTGTTTATGAAGCAGTCTTTCTCTCTCTTTTTTAAAATATTTATTTGAAAGTCAGAGTTATAGGGGTGGGAGGTGGAGGGAGAGAGATCTATGTGCTGGCTCACTCACCAGATGGCCACAACAGCCAGTGCTGGGCCAGGTCGAAGCCAGGAGCCAGTGAATTACCTTTTACAAAATATTTTTGTAAAGATTACTTGTTTTATTTGAAAGACAGAGTTAGAGAGAGGGAGAGACATAGATTTTCCATCTGCTGGTTTGCTCCCTAAATGGCCACAACAACTGGTCTTGGCTTGGATAGAACTGTATCTCCAAGAGCCCACGTACTTGAACCATCTTCTGCTTTCCAAGGTCCATTAGCAGGGTGCTATGTTGGGAAGTAGAGCAGCTCAGACTGGAACCAGCATTCATATGGGTTAACCTGCTGAGCCTTGACGCTGGCCCATATCTTTCAAAAAAAAAAAAATTTAAAGAGACAGAGTCAGCATCTTTTCTAGAATTTTTTAAAAAATTGATCATTATTTTAAAAAATGTTATTTTTATTTGTTGGAAAGAAGAGAGGCAGAGATCTTTCACTTAGTTCACTCCCTAAATGTCCAAACAGGCCGGAGCGAGCAGGGCCGAAGGAATCTGGAAGCGGAGTCCGACTCGAACCCGGAACCCGGGCATTCGATATGGTCTGGGGGCGCCCCCAGCGGCTGCCCCGGGCGCAGGGCCCCCATTACATACTCTTTGTTCCCCATTTCTTCAGAAGTCATCGTTAGGACAAGTGGACTGTATCATCTCGGCTACATGACCAATACGACGCATCAACACGGCACCGTTTAAGATTAGAATGCTGCAATTCTGGTCACTTCTGTGAGGGAACACAGGCGATGTTCAATGTTAACGATGACACCTATAATTAGCAAGACCTATGGTTTCACCGTAGTAATTTTAAGGATGAGGTAATTTCAGGGGTGTTGCAAAAGCAGCAATTAATTAAAACTTCTCAACCCAGTTTATTTTTGCCTCGGTAAAATCCTTTTACGCCAAACACGCTCTGTCAAGGAAACACGTGATTTGGCTTCGGTGTCCTAAAGGGGTTAATGGGGCTCCTCAAGAAAGGCATAGAATTTGAAGCCGGCCCTCTAAATTTCTCCTACTTTTCTTATGCTAACTTCACAGGCTCTTACATCACCTCTCTGGGCTCCAAGTGGCTTGGAACCAATTAAGAAAAGTCTGTGAAAAGCCAGGGACCTAAGGATTCAGGTTTCACTCGTGGAGAAGTCGAAGGGCCGCGATGAGATCAGGCAAGGTGGGAAAGGGATACTGGCAGGTAAAGCGTCGGAAAGTTACAGCCTGTGTGTGTTTTTTTAACCGACGTCCCTCAAACAAACCGACGCCGTGTCGGCGACGTCTCACCCGCGAACCTGTAAATGAATCTGAGGTGTTCTTTTCAGTCAGAGTTAAACTCCGGGCCCGGGAACCCGGCGGCCGTTCAACGACCCCGCCCTCGGGGTCCCCAGGGGCCGCCTTCCGGGGAGCCCGATTGTCTGAGGCGGCCGAGGCGCAGCGACAGCAGGCCGCGCGGAGGGCGAGGGCCGCCGGCCCCGAGAAGCGCACCCCTAGCGGCCTCGCTCCCCTCAGCTGGAAACTTCCCCGGCTGCGAGCAGAGCGGGAGGGGGCGGCGGTTCCCCAGGCGGAGGCCGAGCGCAGCGCGCACGAGGCTCGGGGCGCGCGGCGAGCGCCGCGGCCGCCGCCTCCTCCCCTCCCCGCCTCCGCCTCGCAGCCTCCTCCCTCCGCCCGGCCCGGCCTCCCTCGCTCCCGCCCCTCGCGGCTGGCTCCGGCGGCGGCGGCGGCGGAGGCGGGGAGGGCGTGCGCCGGCCGAGAGGTGTCGGCGGCGAGGCAAGGGAAGTTTCAAGTGGAAGGTCGTCCGCCGGCCGGCGCGTCCTCCCGCTCTCCTCCGGCAGCATCATGGCGGAGCCGAGCGGCTCGCCCGTGCACGTCCAGCTTCCCCAGCAGGCGGCCCCGGTGACAGTGGCGGCGGCGGCCCCGGCGGTCACCACAGCAGCGCCGGCCGCGGCCCCGGCGGTGCCGGCCGCCTCGGCTCCGGCTCCGGTCCCGGCCCCGGCCCCAAGCCCGGCGGCGCAGGCCGTCGGCTGGCCCATCTGCAGGGACGCGTATGAGCTGCAGGAGGTTATCGGTCAGTGCGGAGGGCGCGGCGGGGTCGGCCGAGGCAGGGCGCCGAGGCCGGGCGGGAGGCGCGGCCGGGGACGGGAGGGAGCGCGGGATGCTGGCCTCGGCTGCAAGCACGCCCGGGAGGCAGAGCGGCCGGCTTCGGGGCCTACCGGCTTCGACAGTTTTTTTTTTTTTTTTTTTTTTTTTTTAATTTATTTGTTCGTTCTCCGAGAGCTGCGGCTGCAGGAGGCGGCGCGGCGGATGTGACTCGCACTGCAGACGAGCCGCATGCTGCAAACTTTTATCTCCCGGATCGCCGGAGCTGGGGACCCGGCAATGCCGCCGCAGCTCCCCCACCCCAACCCGGCGCTCCGGAGCTTTAGGTCCGTGGTCAGTGGCCACGCGGCCGGGCAGCCGCGGCTGCGGTGGGGTTGCGGGGGCGCCGCCCTGGGTTTCCAGCGCCCCCGCGCCGCGCCCCAGGGGCCGCGTCCTGGGGGGACTCCGCAGGCGCAGCCGCGCTTCTGCCTCCCGTCTTGACACTCTCGCGGTGGGTAACGGGGCCACGTAGGAGCTGCCGAGGCCCAGGTTCTTTCCGGAGGAGGGAGGATGCTGGCTTCCCTGCCTTTCAGCCGCTGCTCCACGCCCGCCCTGCAGCCCGGCTCTCCGCACCGCCCTGCGCGCCCGGGTACCCGCCTCCCTGGGTGCCGGGCGCGCCGCCTGCCGCCCAGCCCGGCGGCCGGGGCAGAGCGGGCTCTCTGGCCCCCTGCCCTGCACCGGGCGGATGCTTCCCTCTGGTCCAGGGCCGAACTGCAGGAGCGGAACCCGAGGCTGTCGGTGATCCGCGCCTTGCCTCTCGGTGCCTCCTGGTCAGCTCACAAACCCCACCTTGTCTTACATGTTTAAATACCTGGCAAAGTAAGGGCAAGGTGCTGGCGTTACTTTTTGCCTGTCCAAGCACGCTGAGGGCCAGGAGATGCGTGGCCCTTGGAGCTTTTCCTGCTGGATCATGCAGTTAAGTTGTCACTTAGGGAAGCCTCCAGGTGGAGTGGGCCCTGGGCTGCTCACCCAACTGACTCCAGGGTGGGATGTCACCTTGCCTTAATCGTGCTGTTTAAGTACCACCCTGAAAAAGGAATTCAAAGTTTGTGTCTTGAATGTTTTTATTCTCCTGCCTCTCATTTTTTTAAAAAAATTCTCCCTCAAATCCTTCATTAAAAAATTAAGACATATGAAGAATTTCATTAGATGTTTAAATGAGCTTTTATCACCTGATGTGATATGAGTGTGAATAAAACTGACTATATACATACATACATATTGTAGGTTGAAATGCTTATGTGTGAGAAGATGATGGCCAGGGCTAAGTTAGGATACAGAAGCTCGAGGTAATCTATCATCTAGGCAGCATCCGGATACAGAATTCCTTGAAAATCTCGATCTTTCATAACTTTTGGCTAAAGGCCCTCAAGTCTCCCTGTCAAGGCCTGGGTTATACAATTTCGGGACCTGCTCAAAGCCTGTTCAGTGAAAATGCTAAGTTGGCATATAAGCCCCCCAGCCCCCACCTGCATGCCTCCTCCATATTCTGCTTGCATTGATTTTCCCCTGAATGCCTTGCTATCCTCTGACACACGTGGTCTCTCCATTTTTTTTTTTTTTTAAGGTTTATTTATTTCTTTGAAAGTCGAGTTACAAGGAGAGGAGAGACAGGGAGACCTTCCATCTGCTGGTTCACTCCCCAGATGGCTACCACATTCGGGGCTGGGCCTGGCCGAAGCCAGGAGCCAGGAGCTACATCTGGGTTTTCCACATGGGTGACAGGGGCCCAAGCACTTTGGCAATCTTCTGCTGCTTTTTCCCATGCCATTAGCAAGGAGCTGGATCAGAAGTGGAGCAGCCAAGACATAAACTGGCCCCCATATGGATGCCAGTGTTGCAGGCAGCGGCTTTACCTGCCGTGCCACAATGCTAGCCCCGATCTCGTGTGTTTAAGTGCAGGCTTTTCTCTCCTGAGTGTGTAGTAAGTCTCATATGCTTCAAAGGCCAGTGTGAGTGTCTCTTGGGAAGCCTGCTTCTCACCGAGCAAAGTAGTTTTTCTGCCCCTTTCTTTACATACCTCATAGCATATAACCCCACAGTTTCTGTTTACTTACCAAGATCGGAAGGCCTACTCTGTTGCTGCAAGCATTCTTCTAGTTGCTGGCAACAGAAACATTAATAAAAGTGATCCCTGCTCTCAAGGGCTGCATGAGTTTTCAGGAGGTATAGTTCGTAAAAGCTTCTTTTGTTTTTTCAAAGTTTTTATTTACTTATTTGGAAGGTAGAGTGATAGACCAAGAAGGAGAGAGCTTTCATCTGCTGGTTTACTCCGTAAATGGCTGCAACAGCCAGGTCTGGGCTAGGCAGAAACAAGGAGCTAGGAGCTCCAACAGGGTCTCCTTTGTGCATGGCACGGAGCTCAAGTAGTTGGGCCATCATCATCTGTCTCGTGCCCAGGGTGTCCATTAGCAGGAAGCTGGATCCAAAGGGGACACTGGACTCCATCCCAGGTACTGCAGTATGGGGTGTGGGTATCCCCAGTGTGCATGCCACCCCAGATAAAGGATTCTCCAGGATGTGATGAGTGAGTGCTGTGAGAGTTCTGGAAACAGGGTATTCCTCGGAAGGGTGCATCTTTGAGCTTGATTTTGAAGTCTGTGTAAGAGGTTATGAGATGCTTGATTGTTTTCATTGTTCCCTTTCCTAACCTGATGTCAACCTGTCCAAGGTCTTATTTGTTGCTCCATCCCTCACATGTACAGGGAGGCCTAAAAGTTGAATGATGGTATCTGCCACATGATTTTCCATGGAGTCCTTATGGTCAGGACTAGAACTGATACATGATCAGTGCTTATTTTGCTAATTATTAGGGTTAAAATGGAAGGTTTACCTTTAAGAATAATATTGTTTACAGAGGGAGAGAAAGTTCTGGCCTACTGTTTACTCCCGGAATGCCTGCAGTGGCTGGTGCTGGGCCTGGTCAAAGCCAGGAACCTGGATGCATTCCAAGTCTGTCGCATGAGTGGCAGGAACACAATCACTTGAGTCATCCCCACTGCCTCTCAGGGTCTGTATCAGCAGGAGGCTGGAGTTAGGAGTGGAGGCTAGATTTGAACCCAGGCTTGAACTTGGATGTGGGCAGCCGCTGTCCTAACTGGCATCTTAACCACCAGGCTAAATCATGCCTCAAGGCTAAGCCTTTTGAAAAGAATGTTTTATACACCAATGAGTAGTGTATATCAGTTGAAGCGGACGGACTTCATCTCAACTTGCATTAACAGCATTGTTAATTACAGTTGGTCTGTTTAGTGGGGAAAAAATAAATTTACCTGAGGAATTTGAGAACAGAAATACTTGTTTATTCTCCATTTTTTTTTTTTTTTTTGCACATTCATATTGTGGAAAGAGCTCTTCTGCACTTTCAATCTATCTCATGTTTTTCCTAACTAAGAGGTGGCCTGGGTGAGGCCCCATTGCTTAAAAAAAACCAGATCACAGGAACAGGGTTTTGCAGGGGCTTAATGTTTATAGGGAATTACAGGCCCATTTTCATTTAGTGTTTTATGCTAGTTGAGCGATTAAGAGTGAGCTGTGGTTAAGCATTCTTGCTTCAGTAGGACACACAGAAGTGAAGAGTTCCAAGCCTGAACCAGTTTCGGCATGAATGCCAGTTTGACAGCCTTGCAGGTGTCATCTGATAGGGCTCCAGCAGTGTGAACCGGGACCAGCAGGAGGCTTGGATGCGCAGAGCAGAAAGCCTAAGGAGGCACTGGGTTTCAACTTTCCAGCGTGGCAAGGGGCATTTTTTCTCCCTCCATTTCCTTCTGGGCAGAGGTTGGGGCCCCAGGATTAGGGGAGAGAGAGCAAGATAAAGAGTTTTACAAAATCCAAACAAAGTGGGGTCAGTTGTTTGACTTCTTCTGTTTTAGGAAAATAAACACAGGACTTTGCAAGTCTAAAAATAAAGTGTTCCCTTTGTCACACCGTTCTGGTGTTGGAAAAGATCAATGGAGAGATTGTGGTGCCCTCAAGAGTCACCTGGCTCAGAGGTTTGTGCATGACCTGGAAATGATGTAAGATCTGTTGCGGGGAGCTTTATACTTAGAGAGGGGTTACAGGTGCTGTGACATTATTTTCCGTCATTCACCCGTGGAGATCTTTGTCATAGCAGATTTCAGGTATTTCTGTCTCCTACTCCTGTAGTCCTCGTTTAAGCTCTTCAGCTTCTTTAATCCTGTTTCTCACTTCTGCCGGCAACCCACCCCACATTCTTTCTTTAGAAGTACCAGGGGCACTTAAAGCTATGCCAATTGAGAAAAATTAGTTTATTTGTAGATGCTATTAATAGGATCACCTGGTTTGTTCAAACAAGAATAGAGACAAATCTTGTGAACATGGACTTGGGCAACTGTAATAGAACAGAACTTCAGTGAACCCTTTCAAAGAGCTGAGTCTTTGCAGTACCGGTTTCTGTGTTTGAATGAGATAATTCCAGCAGTGCTGTTATCTTTGTTGACTTCCCTCTGAGAAAGGCTAGAGACTCCTGCCTCAGAGTGTTTGATTTTCTTAGAATTTTTGTGCAGTTATTTTTTTTTTGTAAAGAGAAAAATGTATACAGAAATATTCTTTTTGCTTCCATTGTGTGTGGTAACATATATATCCCATTACCTTTATGTAGTCTTGTTATACATATAGTTTCTCAGTGTTGCTTCATGTTTTTGTCCTGGGTCATCATTTCTGATCTAAAACTAGTAAGTTCCATCTTACTCAACAAAAAATAGTTTGATTCCTAGAATCTTAGCCAGGGTTTAGCAGGATTTCTGTCCCTTAAGGCTTTACGTACCCATTCCGGTGTGTTTTCCCCAAGCCCAGGTGACTGGGCACGTGGCCAGGTCTGCAGGGAGGAACAGACTCTGCTCACATGAGATGTGCACACAGCCAGGGCTGCCCCCATTTGCCCTGTGTCCCAGAGTTTCTGCAGGGGGC